ATGAGGTGTTCCAGGAATATCGTGACTAGAATAATGCTTATCAGTCTGCAGGTGGTTGGTCAAAGCTCTCAGGAGGCCAGAGTCATGAGAACATCCTCTGAATCAATGAGTTTAATTTAGCTGTCATTGGTTTTAATCCATAGTTATAATCCATAAAATATGTATTATCAATATTTGGTATCTAGTATCAGACATTGGATTGGATCAGTTGTTACCTATTAGGCACATAAACAATCAAGACTCACAAAAAACCTTGGTGGGTGACTTGGGCTCTGGATAACAGGAAACAAGGATGAGGTCTCAGAACAAAGGGAGATGTAACACTGTTTTGTGAAGTTTAGTCCAACAGCAAACCATTCCAGTGAATGGAAATTGTTAAAAAATGAAAACACGATTAGATCTGTCTCCCAGTGGTTGCTCACATTCTCACGGTATGTAAACAGGCGAAGAGAAGAACCAAGGGCCCAGCAGGCAAGCACTGTCGCAGTCTGATGTCTTCTGCTTGAGTGATTTAGACTGAGGTTTAAAAAGTGTGTACAACTAAAACACAATTGTTAAAAAAATCCTTATAATGACTCCATCTGGGTTAAAAAACAAAGAGAACGTTTCCACATACTGCCCACACTGATGCTTGTACTCACATCTTTAATCTTCTTGTTACATTTGTGTCGTGTGTATGGCTCTGTGTACTTAGATATCCCAGAATACCAAATTATATTAAATTATAGCACATAATATGGTGTTACCACATCAACGATGATTGCTAACAGGCGCTGGATGTTTTCAATGGACTTGGACAGCGAGTCCACATTTTTCTCCAATTTCTAACAGCGTCACACAAATATGTCAGCAGAAGTGATCCACAGGCCTTTCAAAATATCCAGCACTGCGTCACAAAGTCACGCTACGAAGTGAATGGTCCTGATTTCAAGTCAACCTTGGATAGGTTGCTCCATTGTCAGGTCTGTGAATCTCCTCTGCGCTCCCTGAAAAACTGCTTATGTTTGATCTTTGCACTGAAGCTTTTCTTTTCTTTTGAACGGTTTATAAGATATTTATCGCAAATTCTAGGCATGTCTGTACCTGAACTCACAGTTTGGGCTCATGTTTTGACTGGGATAACCCTTAAAAGTCAACTATGGTGATCTTGTTTAGACAGACAGCGTAGACTCTGTATTTCAGAAATGCATCACTGTACAATTGCTCCATTATAATCTTGATATAGTAAACATCTGAATAAGAATTTCACGTTAAAACAATTAATCTACCAATTACATGTTGACATGAGGAGCTAAAGAAAACAGCCGAGCACTGAGCCTGTGTTTGTATGTAAACAGTTTAGCTAAACCATTGTTTTCAAAGGTGCGGCTCCTGTGTCTTCTTTTCAGACTAGTTCAAACGAACACAACTGAAATCCCGTTCATATGTAGCAAACATGTGGTACCCACAACAACTTTGTGTGCATGTTCATAACGCCTCCTCAAAAGGCCTTTTAAACAAGACAAAGATTGCTCTTTTGCACTTAAAATTCATTCAAAGCAAAATAATACAAACAAAGTGTGAGTTATTGATTACAAAATACAGAATACTGTATTTTATATACATACAAAATACAGAATACTGTATTTTATAACTAACTAACTAACTAAACAATCTACAAAAAGGGGGCGCTGCAGAAAAGGTTTCAGTACCACTGCTTTACAGGACTCGTCTTTCGACGGTGCAACTTAACCTGATTTTGGCCGCATGCTGGAACTCCCATACTGTACCTAAGAACCTGTCACTCAGTCTGACTTTTAACAGCCATAATAAACGACAAATAGTTCCGAAAAAAACAACACAGACCAGCAGTTTTTCGTGTGTCGAAAAAAAGGTCAAGGATTTCAAAAACTGAGGGCCTCCTGTACAAAGACAACCCTTACTTTAATTAAAAACATCCACAAAACATGACAGAAGGTTTCGTTTTCCTATTGACTTCCTTATGTTTAAAAGGCTAACAATTCAGGGCAATATTCCCTTTAAATTATAATGAAAACTATACAACACTTCAACATGTTCTGGTAGATACAATATGAAGGCAGTCCACTGTTCTGCTCAAGGAGTTACCGAACACTGTATAAATATCAAAGATGGCTAAACAAAACTCTGTGACATATGATGCTGCAATCTGATATTCCACCTAACAATGTTGAACACTTTTTATTTTCGTCTCCCATTGTGGGTTAGTCAAACACAGAGACACCGCTGCATTGAGGCAGGACTTTTCAAAAACACTTAGTCAGCATAGAGTGTCACGACACCCAAGTAGGCAGTTGGCAAGGCTGATACTTTGGGGATCATTGTACTGCTTGTCGTGCCAATGTCAACAGGTAAGGCTATGTCTTATGTCTGTCAGAGCTCTCTATTTGAATTCATATGACATTTCAGCAAATAGGATATGTATTTTACTGCTTTAAAAAAAACAAAACTATTCGTAACTTTTCAGGTTAGTCTTAGATTGCCACTGTTAGCTAAGACTCCAGTCTGTAACTTCAACTGCAATTTACTTCCTCATCATCAAATTAAGCATAACACAATTATGTAATTAAGAGTATGCTTCAATCTCCCTTCTCTCATTGTTGTCATTGTTCTCAAAAGTTAAAATAAAGAAGACAGTTCTTTATTCTTTATTCTTAATTCTTATTCTTCTTTTTTCTTACTCAAAAGTTAAAATAAAGAAGACAGTTACTCTTTTTTCTTAAAAAAAAAAAAGAAGGGTTTGAAATTACATTTACAGATTTGCGCAATTTATTTAAAATTAAATTTCTAATACATGACCCTGGTCACCAGAGCAGGGCAATGTCTGACCTATTTTTGCTCCAGTGTCGCACAAGTCGCAAGACCAAGGACTGGCTGCTGTGTGCTGACCCAGATTTGACCTACAGTACTTCTAAAATTACCTCTGTTATCTGTGGCGACCGAATCCTACAGTAATTAAATTAAAGCTGGAGACCAGTGACTGAGAAACAGATTTTTATCAGTGGTGCTTAGAAGAGCCACACTGAAGAAATGAGGGTTCATCATCACAGCTCTGAGTACCTGAAGAGGTGCCTTTGTCTTTAGGCAGTAGTGTGTAAATATATTGTACGTCAAAGTATAGAAACGAATCATTGCAGATGGCAGAAAGTGCAGCGTTATGTTATTCAAGAGAAAAGAACAACGTAGTGATCTTATCTACAGAGATTATTAGTAACCTAATAAACCTGCAGTACGTTCCAAAAATACTCTGTATGGACAGGAAAGACTGGGGAAGGGGACGTATGTTCACAAAACAGCTATGTAGAACATTCCACGGACAAATTTATTATTTGGAAACAGGTGAATGGTTTGCTAGTCCAAAGGCTTAAGAACAATGTTTCTCAATAAGAATTTGCAAGGAATTGAGAGATTTCATCATCAACATTTCTTAACATCATTGAGTTGTTTGCATGTAAGCCACAAAGACAAAAAATAAAATACCATCCCCATGATCATGTTCCTTCAGACACAGCTGCCAATAAGTCTGAGATCATTTTTCTCATAGATACTACCTACAAGTGCAAGTTTAAAAAATGCACCATGCAAAGCAAGCCAAAAGTAACAACACACTCGAAGGATTATCTGTACCATAGCTTAACCGCATGAATGAGTTAAAATAAAGTGTCATGTAATCCAATAAGTACAAATTTCAATTATGTTTTTGGATGTCTTTACAAATCAAGCTACGTTTCCTCCAGAGTCAAGTGTGAAAGGATTCAGATTGTTTTCAGCACAAGAAGAGCTAATGCCTGTGAAGTTATGGTGGCCTTGGCATGGGTAAGTTTCACACAGGAGGCACCATTAAGTCCACTGGGGCTTGAACCCAGGACAGTCCTCGAACCACCAAGGTATAGCAAATAAAACTCTTCTGTTTTTCTTTAGGTTTTGCACAATGTCATGTTTAAGGTTTTTGTGGAATAATTTGTTGTAGCTGAACAGTAAATCTGAATTGTTGTAGCTTTCTATAGATCACAGTGTAACATGCAAATATATGTCTAATAAGGTACATGGTCAGACTAACTGAATCAACACCCTGTTTTTCTTCACTTAGAAAGCTAGTCACTGAAACAAATGAGTCACCCAGGTTTACATTGACACTCAAAGCATGCTTTTGGCATAGTGTTCCTTAAAACTACAAAGGCTAAACAAAGCACAGACCATGTTGTCATTTCAACAGAGAGGTGACACATGTCGTCAATGAAGCCAGAGGCACCAGCTTACCAACGACTCTACCAGCACCTTAGAGGAGTCAGTGTGAGACCTATCATTTGCAGCTGATGATGGTAGGTACTTGACTCATATATAATTGACTCACACACATGACTCATCAGATTTCCAAAGCCAGGGTGCCTGCGTGTCTACTCCGGTTACAATTAAGAATCAAAATCTATCACTAAATATTTCCTAACTTTTTTTTTCAGAGGCAACTATTGCAGGTGTTGCTCACAGAGAGGGTGGAGTAAGGTTGCAAGTACTGTGGATGTGTTGTTTCCTCAAAACCAGATTCCTGCATGCCTGTCATTCCTGTCTTGGCTGTCAAAAGTGCTGCCAGCACATTTGCTTATGCTGCACTTAAATCACTTCCACTTCCAGCTCATATTGTTAAGACGTAGACTCCACTTTTTTATTGTTATACTCACTCCCCAAGCTTTTGTTTGCCTTTTGTATGTTATTGACTTTGACAATGCAGAGGAAATTCTTGAGATGACATGAGAATTGACAAAGGACAAGCCTTTATATTAAAAGGCTGCTGAAATAATACCTCTGGTAAGCTTTAATAATTTACCATTATTCCTAATTAGCAATTACCATTTCTAGTCTAGACTTGGGAATTAGTGCAGCATATAATATAGTCAGTTTGCCCTATAATTAATTACCCGGATTTCTTATTGGCTACTTATGAAAGCATAGCGAACACAATGGGGGTCCCTAGTGGTCTTTACCTTTAAGATAGCTCTTGACTCTCAGGTATCCCACACTGAGTCGAAGAACTGACAGTTTGTCTAGACGAGAGCGGACATCATTGGTAAAGGGCAGGAGATCCGTCAGCCGGTCCAGCTCCAAATTCAGTCGATCCCGGTGTCGTTTTGAAGGGTTTGATTTAACAACCTCATTGCTCTCAGAGATTTTCTTTCTGTGGAGCAAAGAACACAAAACAAAACTGAGCTGTGATTAAAAGTCTTAACATTTAGTGGAAGCCTGTAATTAACAGCTGATGACTAGGAATGACTCAATTATAGTCTAAGCTAACGAGACCTCTTATGGGGCATTGCATCTGTTGTTGGCTTTAGCATGACACACACTGCAATTATTCATAGTGCAACATTTACCAGCGCTCGAAACTGCATCCAGAATGAAAAGGTGCCCATTAAAGTGAATGCATCAAGAATGCATCTAGTCAAGTTATTATTTCAGCGAGTTCATAACAGTTGAAAAC